TAGCACTAACAACACAAGAATGCCAAGATGGAGATACAAATCAGAAAGTAGGAAGTCAAAGCATTGCCATCCACAAAGGATATAATTCTGTCTAGCGGGAACAATGATGGCGGTGAAGAAATGATGGAAAGGAAGCTGATCAAAATTATGTCAGACACACACACACACGCACACACACACAAAACCTAACCAAGGAGGCAAATGACCTCTATGATGAAACTCTAAAACACTCAAGAGAGTAACTGCAGAAGTCACTAGATATTGGGAAGGTCTCTCATGCTCTTAGACTGGAAGAGAAAAAACACTGGGAAAACATGTTTCACATGAAATATTCTATATAGATTTTATGTAATCGCAACCAAGACCCCCAAATTGTTTCCACAGACATTAACAGAAAAATGGAAATATGACAGACTTTAGAAGGCCAAAGTACCCCTGAGCAGAAAGCATAATACTAGAGGTATTTCCATCCCTTATTCTGAGTTACTTTGAAGAGCCGTTGTGATAGAAACCACATGGTACTGGCACAAAAGCAGGCACGTAAACAGTGGAATAAAATAAGGACTCAGATAGAAACCCTTGCAGATACTTTCGATTATTATTTTTCTTTACAAGGATGTAAGGAGTCCTCACTGGAGACTGGACAAACAGTACTGAGAACATGGGCTACCTGCAGATAAAAGGATAAAACCAGATCCCTCGATTTTCATTTTGTACTAAAATAATCTCCAAATGGACTGCAACACAACACAGACCCAAAAGTGCTAGAGAAAAAAGCAGGGGAAACAGGTTAAGGTAAATGTCCAGTAGCTCAAACAGTAAGGCCCTAGTTACAAATAAGACAACACACAACTAAAATCATCTATATAGTAAAGGAAATAACTAGGCAGCCTATAGACCAGCGTTGAAGCTTTGCCACTTATACATCTTATAGAGGATTAATATCTAGAATATAAAAAGAACTAAACAACCTAATCTCTAAGAAAACAAACAACCTGAACAAAAATAGGTTGACGAGCTGAACGGAATATTTGAAAGGGGGGAATACAAATGGCCAATTAGTGTGTTAGAAGTGTTCAGCATTGTTAGCTGGCAGGGAAACGCATGCTACCAATACACTTAGATGCTTCGAATTTGCCACGGTCACAGTGACTGTCATCCGGAAAAGATGAGCACAAATGTTGGCCTGGGTGGGGATAATGAGGAATCTGGACTCACTGTTGGTGGGGGTGGTGTGGGAAGGTCACTGTGGGCATCACTGTGGAGGCTTCTCAGAGAGCTGAAAACAGAACTTCCACACAATCTAGATATTCTGCTCCTAGTCTTTGCTATAGAGATATATGCTCATCCACGAGTACAGCTGTTCTAGACACAATATCAAGGGTATGGAATTAGCCTAGATATCCACCAACTACTGGATGGACAATGAAAAATGTAGTATATACATACTCAGCAGAATTTTATTTAGCTGAAACGACAGTGGAATTATTTACAGGAAAATGGTATATACTAGATAATTTAATTCAGGCCCTGACAGACAAAGGCCACATGTTCTCTGTTATATGTGGATTGTAACATAATTTTTAATATATGTGTGAAGTAAGGGAAGGTAGAAGCCAGAAAATTAGAAAGGGCCCATGTGACCAGAGAAAAATTACTTCCTCAAAAAATAAAAACGAAAACCTAACACATCCAAATAGTTGAATCAAGTAGACACGGTTGCATGTCAAAAATAGATGAATCTGGAGGATGTTTGTAGGTCAAAGGAAGCGAGTCAGTCACAAAAGGTGACATATATGTTTCTACTCTACAGCGTAAATTAAAAGGTCAATTTCACACTGTTAGGAGTGGAGTGTGGGCACCAGGACCAGAGGATAAAGGTACCAGACAGCTGCTAGTTAATGGATATACAGTCTTTTCTATGAGTTGAAGAAGTTATGGTACATGATCAGCAACAATGTACTTAAGAATACTGATAATGGTAAAATTGTGTGTATGTGAGTGTGTGTGTGTGTGTGATTTTTTTTAATAGAATGGAAATAAAAGTACAGCAAGCAGATATTCATTTACTTTGTCAAAGAATATGTCATTCTTTAAAGGTCAAAAAGATGTTTTTATTCTACTTTTGTAGATAAGAACAGCTTCAAGAATTATAAATGCTACCAGAGGCCATGAAGCTCTAACGGTATTCAAACATATACATGTGAATTAATAAACTGGTTTCTGTTACAAAGCTTTGTTCTCTTAAAACACTGCACAAAAGCCTGGTCCCTCTCTGTCAGAACCCATTGGCTTCATCTACTAGCCCAGTGTACATAGAACAATCACCACTCTGGGTGTTCTTGATTTTTATCTCCTTACATAATTTAGTTCTCTCAACATCAGCCATGTAAGCTTTATTAACCGTTATCAACAAATGTTAGAACTGAGTCTAGGAAAGACCATTTCAAGTAAAAAGCCTTAACGTCCAAGTTTCCTTTGCAATAATACATGTATCTCAAGATCTCAGGGCTTCCCATTTACGCCATTAAATCTTATAAACATTTACAGAGTTATACATCTGTCTCATTACTTTGAGTTTCGGTTTAATACGTTTTGTTTCAGTACAGAGGGAAGAGCACAGGGATTGTTTGGGTTAAATATCTAGTCAATGAAATGTATCAAATGCCTCCTATAAAACTGGAGTGAAGCTTGGCATCGAACCACATTAATACATTCATTATAGTCTAAGGAGACGTGGACAAATTACAGGAGCATTAGAGAATGCTTGGAAAAATTAAAACAGATGAAATAGCTGGTGGGGAGACAGGGTTTCACTTGTTTTTCAGTTGGTGTTATGAGAGAGCATGTGTCTATATGTGGAATAAAGAGGAGAGGCCTTTGGTCCTGTGCAAAAGAAACTATCTAGTTATCTGAAGATTTTTCCTGTGCATTTAGACCTAGGGTTATTTTTCTTAGTGCATATTTACTGCAAGAGTTGGCGTGGATCCTCCTGAATTCAACAAAAAGGCATAGATATCACCTGCTGAACGCAAAACATAGAAAGTGGCACTGGGCTAAAGAGGCAACTGTGGCTTGATAATCCTTGACAACACCAGAATATTAAGGAATAGAGAGTTAATAAGTAATAGCAAGCCAGTATGGGGCACACAGTACAACCTAGCACTTAGGAAACTGAAGCAGGGGCATTAAGAGTCTAAGGTCAGTTTTGTTAATGAAATAAAAAAGGTGGAGAGGCAGAGAGCTTTTGGGGCTGCTTGGCAGGAATCTGACATTGGCCAAGGACAAGGAAGTGTGCTTCAGGCAGGAATCTGACATTAGGCTAGAACAAAGAAGTAATTTCAGACAGGAATCTAAATTTTAGGCTAGAGCAAAGAAGTAGGCTTCAGACATGAAAATGACTTTGGGCTAGAACAGGGAAGTAGGCTCAGATATTTTGGTCATTCTGATAAGCCCTTAAACAGTGATCATGGGAGTGTTCATGGAAATTTGTTTATCGCCTTGCTTGTTCTTTGACTATTTGTGTTTATTGTCTTGCTTGTTCCTTGACTATTTTCATCTATTCTATTGCTAGTCCCTTAACCTAGAACTGACCTTAATACTTGCATGTGATTAAAATGGTTTAAAAGCAAAAAGGGGGAGGGGAGATAGGATACTGGGTTTCTAGGGAGGGGAAATGGGGAAAGGAGAATGCATCTGAAACGTAAATAAAATATCCAATAAAAAAAAAAAGAAAAACAAAGTGTTCAAGGTCAGCCTGAAGTCCAGAGAGAGACTCACAAGCAGTTTTTTAAAAAGGAATAAAAATAGATTGCTGGGCAGTGGTGGTGCATGCCTTTAATCCCAGCACTTGGGAGGCAGAGGCAGGCAGATTTCTGAGTTCAAGAGTTCGAGGCTAGCCTGGTCTACAGAGTGAGTTCCAGGACAGCCAGGGCTACACAGAGAAACCTTGTCTCAAAATAATAATAATAATAAAAAAATAGATCGATGATGACAATTTTACTTATGTCAAACATGACAGGTAAAGTCATTACCAACCTAGTGTTAAGGAAGCAGAAAATATAAAACTGATAAACTCATAACACTTTTTAAAATTTCCTTGTATTTGTTTATTTAAAGTTGAAAGCAGAAAGGAGATGGGTTCCATGTGGCCATCTGGGAAGAAGGACTGAGGGATCCTGTGAATCTCCCATGTCTATCTTCCGAGTCCAAAAATGAGATAAAAATTTAAGTGCAAGACACGCACATCTAAAACATCCTAAAGAGGTACAGTTTCCGACAAACAAAGCTGAGCATTTTGTGATACTAGGACATTACCCATGGCACCAGCAGAATGGAACTCAGGTATGCCTGACCGGTAAGCTATTCCTTCTAAACTTCAGCTGTTTAAGACAGGTATAAATCTTCGTTAGTCTCAAATGACTGACATTCATTACTTATGACCCTCTCAGTGTGGGATCAAATCCGACCATCAAAGGTAAATCTTTCTCTGACATCATGGAACAATGGAGAACAATCCCCCCAACGGTTAGTCACCAAGGACTTAAAAAAATATCATACTTTCATTTTAGAAGATGAGCTGTACTGGTGGATATGGACATACCATTTTGAAAAATAACACTTTTTTTTTTCTATCTGGGCTGCTGAACTAATGAATTTTTTGCATGACCTTGGATGACCAGTCCAAGGTACATATTCAAATCATGTCACCTGCTATTTGCTTACGCTGCACTCTGATGTCTTGTCAATGCATCAAAGCATTTTGAAGGCTGGGCTAGCCTCAGTCTAATGGCCACTGATACCTGAAGGTACTTTCAGAACCTTTACCTACTTCCGGTGAAACTTTACAGCTTGGGAAAAGAATAAACAAAATTAGCACGAAGAAAGTATTTTCAAAACCTTCCTGATTTGAATACTGTCATTTGAATGGCTCAGTCAAACTAAGATTATGGAGTTAAATTATCTGGAGAGAAATCTGTTAATAAACAAAAATCCTTTACTCTGTAAGATCTTCTATCTTCTTTTCCACTAACGTAGGGGGTACATTGGAGACAATGACCTGCATATCCAGTTGATTGACCACGGAGACCTGAAAAGTGAAAACAGAATGTATTGAATTTCTAATCGTGAACATTTACATTTCAAATATTAATATTACTCCGTTTCCTATCATCTCTAGAATTTGTAGTTACTCATTGCTGGATGATTTATTTTTGAAAAATTACATAAGTTCCTATTGGTATTAGGAATAAACCACTACTTGAAATAGGTAGAGGACTTCCTGTGGACCGAAAAAGTTAGATGCTAAGTGGATTTCATTATTTTGGCTTTGAGCTTGCTTTTTTAAGATCTATGATACCTGTGGTGGTTTGAATCGGAATGGCTTCTATTAACTCATATTTGAAGGCTTAGTCACCATGGAGTGGGGCTATTAGAAGGATTAGAAGGATTAGAAGGTGTGGCCTTGTTGGAGGAAGTGCGTCACTGGGGGTGGGCTTTAAGGTTTCAAAAGCCCAGGCCAGGCTCAGAGTCTCCCTTTCTCTGTCTGTGGATCAGAATGTAGCTCTCAGCTACTGCTCCAATGTCTGCCTGCCTGCCACCATGCTCTCTTCCATGATGATAACGGACTAACCCTCTGAAACTTTAAGTGAGTCCCCAAATAAATGCTTTCTCTTTTAATAGTTGCCTTGGTCATGGTGTCTCTTTACAGCGATGGAACAGTGACTAAGACAATAACATAGGAGTGGAAGTTTGGTTGTACTCGATTTCATCAGTTAAGAAACAGCCAGCAGAATCAAAATACCATTTAGAATTTTTAAATCTAATGATAATTTACTCATTGCAACAGATACTCTGGAGGTAAAGTGGGTTAGAGTGATGCCACAGGCTTCTCACATACAGTCCCCATGTCTATTCAATCTGATCCATGGAGATGCCTGCATACGATATCTACGGTGAAACCCAAATGAGGAATGTTAGCAAGAGTTGATGGCTGTGCTGTATTTAGTCTTCCGTTAGATCCTTCTGTGATCATATAAAGGGAAAGTAGTAGTTCTATGCTGACGGCATTCTACTTAATTTTTCTCAAGAAGCCTACAGCTTTCAACTTTAACTATCACAAGTAGTTACTAGATATGACTCCCATTTAAATAGGGAAAACCGTAAAACAACTGGAGTATTTGTTGTGTGATTTTGATGGCTAGTTTTATGTCAGCCTGACACCAAGCTAGAGTCACCTCAGAGGAGGGAACTTAACTGAGGAATTGCCTCCATAAAATTGGTCTGAAGACAAGCCTGTAGGGCATTAGTAATTGATGTGGGAGAGCCCAGCCCGTTGTGGATGCTGCTATCTCTGGGATGGTTGTTCTGAGTGCTAGAAGAGAAGAGAGCAGGCTAAACAAGAAATAAGGAGTAAGCCAGTAAGCAGCATCCCTTCCTAGCTTCTATATCAGCTTCTGCCTCCAGATTCCTACAGGCTTTGAGTTCCTGACTTGGCTTCCCTCACAATATACAAGCCAAATAAACCCTTTACTCCTCAATTTGCTTTTGGTCATGGTGTTTCGTCACAGGAGTAGTAATCCTAACTAGGACAGAGATCAAAGAATGTGTCATAGCTATAGGGTTTTTTGAGACTCTTTTTCTAAAAAAAAAAAAAAATTATTTTTATGTATATTGGTGATTTCCCTGTATGTATGCCTGAATGAGGGTGTCAGATCCCCTGGAACAGGAGTTACAGACAGTTGCGAGCATCATGTAGAATTGAACCTTTGTCTTTTGGAAGAACAGCTAGTGCTCTTAGTAGATGAGCCATTTCTCTAGCCCACCATAGCTATAGTTTAATAATCAATCATTTTATGTGAGGGCTGTGTTGTTGCTACATAGCTTGTATGCTGTATTGCTGCCAAATATTTGTGCAAGAATCTGAGGTCATATCTTAAACAATCCTTCACATGCCCATGTACAATTACAGTAGCATTAGTGTGTGTGTGCACCAGAACCATAAAACTGGACACTCCAGATTGATTATAGTTAGTACCAAATATCTCAACATAATTTATGGTAGGAAAGGCATTCACATTACCATATAATTTTCATATTGGCTCCAAGTTATCTAAAAGCAGTTATTAAGAGATGGGCTTACAAAACCTCTAGGAAGCAGAAAGGAAATTTAAATCACAAAAGTAGACAAAAGGATAACTGATAGGAAGCAGAAATCTGCAATCTGAGGACAGGTGCTCCTCTGAGAGGGCCTGCCTCTGCTGGCTTCCCTTGAGCATCACCACGTAGGAGAACCAGTTCAGACCTGCTGCATCATTTAGGTTTCCAAGGAAATAAGTCTGCGATATTACAGAAAATATTCACAGCTCCATAGGAGGCCGTTCAAATTTAGTATGAGCCTAATATTGTGTGAGGCTAATATATCTTCTCAAAGTCTGCATTAAGACTCATTTTGATACGTCAATAGTCAAGCAGTGGCCACTGGCAGTTTAAACTCTGTGCTTCTTGTTCTTTACAGGCAGCTGCATCTATATGCACAGAATTGTTATCTTTGAATTTTGGAGTTTTTAGTAGAATTATATGGGGGAAAATCACTATAAGTGTGGTTCTAAAACTTGGACCTTCCTTTCTCCCTCCCTTCCCCCTCTCCTCTCTTCCTCCACATTCCCTTCCTCTCCCCTCCTTTTTTTCTATCTCCCTTTCTCTTCCTTCTATCTTTGACCCCTTCCTTCTTTTGCTTTCCCTCTTTTTTTTTCCCTTTATTTTTAACATCGAATTAGGAAAGATCAGGTAGGGTTGCAGTCAACACCAGCAGCCTGAAGGAAGGCAGTCACAACCAGAAGTGCAGCAATCAGACCCCAGTCTCTGTAGGCTGAAGCTCCTTCCTTCCTCTCCCTTGCTGCTGGGATCTACCTCAGAGTTAAGAGCTATTCCAGTGAGTTGGTGATGAAACAATTCCTACTTCTACTTTGAGAAGGGGTGCTGAGGTGACATTGTGGGTTGTGGAGAATCCCCTGGAAGGTCTCAGTATTCAGTGCTTTCATGGTCCCATATATAATTGCTTGCTTTTCCTCTACACAGGTGGATTTCAAATATTTTAGAGATATTCATGTATACACTGTTGAGACGCTTTGTGTGACAAAGTAAGACTAAATGTAGTCAAAATAAAGAGAAGAAGCATGTGACTCACAAGGGTCTGATGACAGCTTTGTTATGTACATATTTTACATCTAGGTCATTTCATTCTTCCTTATGAGCCATTTCTTCACCTCCCTTCATTTATATATAAAAATCAACATTGCCATTCTACGGAACATACACTAAATCCCTAATAACAGACCCTACATAACTTTAAAATTCACACTAGAAATTTAAATTTACATTAGAAAGATGTTGACAGAATTGTTTTAATTATGCTTTTAATCAAGTATTTAAAACAGTTCAACACATGTTGAACACAATCCCAACATGTAATCATATCACATGCCCCATGGAGACATTTGAGTTTATCAATGGAGTCTGTGGAATCCAGTTTCCTCTCATACTCCCCCCAGACTTCACTGTGGCCCAGAGCATGCTGTGGCACTCAGCACCTACCCGAGACTGATATATAGTGTTTGGACACACTTGTCCTCTCTTTATGAACTGTAGCTGTGCTTCCCAACTGGAATTTGCTATAAACCCTCTTGTAGTACAATGAAAGGAATGGCTCAATAGCCTTTTTAGGATCACTGTTGAGGTTTGGTCTTTTGCTATGTGCTAAAGCTTTGGTTGTCCCAGTGATGAGAGTATCCTCATGTACACGGAGTGATGCTGTGTGACTTTGCTCCTTAATTTAAAACTATTGGTCAAATAAAGATGCCAACAGTCTATATAGCTGGGCAGAAGAGAGGTAGGTGGAGTTCCAGTTCCTGGGTTTGGGATCTGAGGATAAGAGAGGGAATAGAGAGAGAAGAAGAAACCATGAGGTAAATACTCAAGAGAATTAGCCGTGAGGACAGGCCAGTTGAAGTAAGAGGAGCCCAGACAGAACATGGCAAGTCATATCTCTGGGTTTTTTATTGAGAGGTAGATGCCAATAGCTTAGAGGGTAGATATCTGCCCAGCTCTAGTGCTGATTCAGGTTTATTAGAGATATCAAGGTTTTGTGTCTTTTATCTGGGAACTTAATGATCAAATGCAGGGTAGAAACCACCATCTGAGATTAAATAAGCATTACAACAGATCATTGTGTATTTTCTTCTTTGAGGATATTGTACCAAAATTTAAAGGTTCACACCCACATCCCTGGATTTCATTTGAAATCTGAAGCAATGATTACAAATATGAAAATCTATTCATTCTTCTTATAGTGCTTAGAGAATCTTTTGTTCATAGTTCAAATCAATATTTGGTTACTTCTGTTTTAGACAACAGTCTTAAATAGCCCAGACTGGGCTAGAAGTCTATATGTACCTGATGGTGGCCTTGAATTCTGTATTTTCCTGTCTGCCCATCTCCAAAGGTTGAATTACAGGAGTGTACTCCCATGTTTGATATTATGATTGAATTTCTACATGTTGTTCTTGCCATTTGGATAACATTAATTCAAAAATTTTAAATACTGACACATTTCATTATACAAAATGAAAAAAGAAATGTTTTTTTAATTATGACTACTACTAGTCTTGTCAGAATAGTCACTGGATAATGACACGCTGTCAAGTTCACAGTGGGAAATACAAGCCTTTTAGTGTTGTGACTCAAACTGGAAGGCTCCAACGCTGTCATCGGAAATAAATACTGCCAATTGTTTCCCTTGACATGAAAGACTTACTACATTCATCCTTCTGAAAATGACTTCCAAATATTCATCTTGAATAAACATGTTTTGTCTTTAAGTTATTCCTTCAAATAAAAAAGTAATCCATTCTATGAACAAAAGCAGGTAGCTCAAATTTAATCTTTTTATTTTGAGACAGTCATCATTTCTTTTCATGTATTCCAATCTGTCATACAAAATATTTAAAGGTGTTAGTTGTTTTTGATAGCTAGACAGATGATGAGATGATTGGTGGAAAGACAAATAATAATAATAGGTAGATAGATAGATAGGTAGATAGATAGATGTAGGTAGATGATAGATGCTATTTATGAATCGGCTGTGAGAGTTTAGCATTTTTACTACATAGATGATATTTTAAAGTTATGGTACCAAACACCTTGCCAAGTCAGTGTGAGCACTCCATAAATAGAGCACATGGCCTGAGCCTTGTCAAGCATAAATGCTGCCGGATGAGAAGAAAATAAAGCAAGCAAAGAAAACTAGAAGTCACAGTGATGTGGTAAGTAACCAAACCCTAGGTGTTGGCTTGAAGGCTACTAGACAAGTGAGACCATTTAAAGCAAAGGTAAGCATACTTTTGTACACATTTTCTCAGATGTTGTCAGCATGAACAGTGACCTAGTAGAAGGAGAGTCAAAATTCTGTTCCCCCCCCCAATGGAGCACAGTATAAAGAGTGATGTTCTGCTTGTGGATTGACTGGACTGTTCTCCTGAGTGTTGAATGACCATGAGGGTTTATCTAAGTGACACTGGGGTGGTACATGTACTTTGGAGTCCACCTCCCCTGACCATGAGTTTGCTGTGCAGTGACTTGGGGGCCCAGATACTATATCACATGAGAACAAAAATCTTTTTCTTTCTCTGGTTCTTCCTTCCCAAGTAGGCATGTTTTTATAGACAAAGATGCAGGGGCTTTTGACTTTGTACACTGACGCTGGCCTCTGTGACACTCTGAGGATTCTCAGGGTCAGGTCCTCATTGTTAGCTTTCAAATTTCTCACACTTTCATTTTCTTAAACTGAAGAATTTTGTCATCTTCTCTAGCTTCTCAACAGTCAGTCTGATAGTATGAGATTTTTCAGCCACAATTGGCCAGTCAATCAATGAAATAGATCCACTGGCTTCATTTCCACAGAGATTGTGACTAAAGAATACATAAGGAAAGGAAAAAGCACCGATAAAGCACCGTATGTCAGTTAATCAAGCATGAGGAACATATAGGTTTCTCATAAGAGAATGTATGAGAAGGAAAATATTCAATTAAGCAGATTGAGTGTCTTGCTGGGAACAAGAGCATCAAAATTGTACAGGTACATTTGATATCGTGGTGAAGGGAGAGAGCTCAAGGAATTATGATTATAGAACATGGGAAGAATAACCTTATACACAATGGAAGAGATTGCCAAAAGTAAGCCGGGAGAACTGGAAAATACGAGCCAACACGTGGAAGGAGATCACGGTGGTGAAGGTCAGACTCCGAGGAAGGAGCAAAGATTGAGAAATGACCACACTGTCGCATGAAGATCACAGTGTCAGTGAGCAGCATGAAGAACACACCGAACAAAACCAGCAAAGAATCCACATGGACTATAAGAACCATCCCTTGATAAAGTAACAGTAATAAATGGTGTAAAGACACACCTCACCCTTTACCCTTACTAATCGTCTTCAATGACTGTCTACCGCTTTAGAACATGGTTCCGCGATATTTCACATGGCTTCCGCGTCTCACACAAACCACCGACTTCCGCCTTTAAGCCCCCCATCATCCGTGGTCCCTCTCATGTGCTGTACGTTGAGTGAATAACTGAGTTACCCAGCCCTGTCTCCATCTACCTTCCATCTTGGTTTTGACATCTATCATCCTCACACCCTCCGCGAATGGACTTTATTTGGTCTTTTTCTTAACTAAAAAGATTGCATGTGTTACTATGAAAATCATTTTTGAAATGACTTTCCTGATGCCGTCTGCTTGTAATAGAAATATATAGGTATGTATATATATGTATGCATGTGTGTGCACGTGTGTGTGTGTGTGCGTGTGTGTATATATATATATATATATATCAAATACATAAAATATATTATGATTTCTTTTAAATGAATGTATTTCTTCAAAAATACATAATATTTAGTAAACATCCAAGTATAAATAAATACGTATAAACACATACATTAAGTATATGGTTTATAATTACTGTACAATTACTTTGAATTTCAAACAAAGCATGGACTTCGTATTGCTCACATGTTTCTCCATTATACGTTATACATAATGGTTATGTATATTTCCTTGTGTTTATTTTATAATATCTTATTCATACTTAGCACCTTATCATTTCTCTTTTAAGCTCCACAATGTACATTTCTTAAATATAAGAAAGGAAAAATGTGCACATTATCTTATGTAAGGTTTACAGGCCTGTGTTTGATCAAAAATAATATTTTATATTAAAGGTTTCTTGGCTAATATTGAACTGTTTTTTTTTATTACCATGAAGCTGTCTGTACACCATGGTGGTGACTTGGGTTCTCTGATATCTGAGAAAATGCCATTTTATCCCTTACACCTACATGGAGATAAAAGTTAACTAGATGAGAACCAAAGTGTGTAACTTACTAAGATGTACAAGAGGATAGAGAGGTTTTATTTGATTCTTGCTTGATATGAGAAACGTTCAACAATCATCCTACTTATAACTGTCACTAGGTTTATCAGTGAAAAAATCCAAACAACCTCTGTGTCCACTTTGGTATTACATGGTTTGGTTAACGTTAGAATCGAATTGCTCTTGAGACGATCTACCTGTGAAACTATATTCAGCCCGAGAGAAACAAAAGAAAGGGATACTGTCTTATGTAGACACATGCAACTTGGTAAAGTCTCATTTCTACCATCCTTGAAGATCCTGCCTAACAAAGAAAATGACGTATATTAAAATATAACCTACCACAATGTGTTTTCTGTTTTGGTTTTTAAAACTACAAAGGCCATATACCCTGATGATAATGTAATGGGATTTACATTTTAGAGAGTCTATTTCAAAATATCACTGAAAGTGCAAATAACTAAAACACTCACTCAAGGCTCGCGTCTCATGCCCCTCACGCATGCGCTTACCAGTACGTCCGCTTTCCCGCTCAACCCCTTCCCGTAGTCGTCAGTGGCAATCACTTGAAACTTGAAGTAGGATCTCCTCATATTGTGGAAAAGCATGGCCGTCTTGATGAGCCCTGTGTATGTTTCCACCACAAAGCCCTCTTTGCCCTCTTTAATCGGTGGTATGATGAGCCTGTAGGCCATGGCACTGTAATTTCCCGTGTCCCTGTCGGTGGCCTAGGAAGGAAAATCAGATGATAAATTGTGAGAAGGGAGAAAAAGCTACCAGAAAGCTTATTTCTACTTCCAAGGCTACTTGTGTAATAATAGCACAGTAGATTTCTGCTAAAATTCCCTTTCTATCAATAATAGTTTTCATCCCAATGATACTGGCTCTGGAATAGTTATTACGACACATAAGGATCCAATCTTTCTGTCAGGATAAGTTTTCATTTAGGGCTATGAATCCAAATGATGGGCATGGTGTAATCTATTGATCATTTCAAGATTATCCAGTATCTGTGGTTACACTCTGACCTCAATTTTTTTCAGTAATTTTTGATAATTGTAGATTCTTGTCTCTAATTTTTTTCATTAATATTCTGGCTATGTTTTCCTCTCCTTCAGCTCCTACCAGGTCTTTCCTACTCCTCTACCCACAAAACTTCACCTTCTCTTTCCCTCCAAAATAAAACAAAACAGAAACAAAAGAAAAACCAAAAGCAAACAAAAATCAAAGTTTTGACCTAGCATGTAGTCTAAGAGGTGGGAGACATAAAGAACTTTATACAGACCTATCAATTAAAATAAGTCAGATGTAGTTTTTCACAAATATGTTTATGGATATAGGAATATATACCAACCAGTTAATATTATAGCAAGATCAAGTATGATAGATGCTAACTCTCTCTTTTGTAATCCTCTGATTAAACGAGGTTCTTAGTGCCAGGGAGTTATGGTGTAACAGGCTTAAGGTCTCAATCAATTAGATATCAAAAGGGAATAACTATTTGGATTTTCAATTTCTTCTTAGAAATGGCTATGAACAGAATAAATTGTATTTGTTCTATGGCTTCTACTTAAAGGGAAGTTTTCTGGATGTCAGTTCCAGAATTATTTCAAAGCGAAGCTCTTTAGAGAGAAATGGTGGGTTCTAGTGATTCTTAGGACTGAAAAGCACATTGGTTGTTCTTCCAGGGGACCTAGGTTAGGTTCCCAGCATCAATGTGATAACTCAGAATCACCTGTAACTCCAGTTCCTGGATCTGAGGCTCTCATGACCTCTGTAGTAGGCACCACGCATGCAAGTAATACCTAGCCATGCATGCAGACAAAACACTCATATACATAAAATATAAGTATTTCTTTAAAAAAATGTACAAGCATTATTTAAAAAATTCAAAATAAAATAAATATATAATATATCCAAATCAAAGACCAAAGTCTATACAACTCAATTAGCTCTTATACAGGTAGAAGAGGGATTTGGAAAGGAAGCTGTGAACCTTCACATTACATTTTCCACTTTTAATTTCGAGTCTATAACACGAAAGGCTAAATGCAAGAGGAAAATAGGAAGAAGCGAATTCAGATAAGAAACATGCTGCGACAGAACATCTAAAGCTAATTGTTCTTCTGATTCTGCTATGGACTTTGTGTTTGGGGTAGGGCGTAAGTGCATAAAATATATTCAAACCAGAACATATATTAAAAGAAATTGTGGATAAGAGAATCAGACAATGTCATCAGGCTATATGTAAATTATTCAGAATACACATCATTCAGAATGTCTGTCTTCCAGCATTTTCTATCACATGGTTATTGATACTTTTCTCAGCACTTAACCTAAAGCATGATATAGTACGCATTTTTAATCTGCGTCAAAACTCTGAGAGCTATACCAAAGTAATTTAATAGCAAGAAAAATACTGCTAAGGAAGTTACTGTTCTAATTATAAAGAGTAGCGATGTCTGATAAAATGTTCTGGGTGTGGATAGGGATCATCCCAAAACGTCCTGATCCTCGCAGCAGAAATCAGTCATACGTGACACCACTGGGAATTTGAAATGAGGCCTACGTGGCCAAAGAACCAGGCTTGATCTAAGTGGACCACAGCGTGTTAGTGTCGGTATACAAACAATGACAATAACAAATAATAGCTCACATACAGTAAGTATGGTATAAACTTGACTTGGATTCAGGCTTTATATATACTCAGAACATTTCAAGCATTTCAGGATAGCCCCATCTGCACAACAAGGAAAAGCATCTTATACTAAATAACCCAGATAGCTCAACTCGAGATAAAAAAAAAAAACCCAACAAATTAAAACTTGTCTAAGTTGCTGTCATGATTAATTCTGGTTGCTGACTTGACTGGGTTCAGAATTACCCACTCCGCCCCGAGACACCTCTGCGGGAGTGGCTGTGGGGTCATTTCCAGAGACGTTTAATGGAGGAGGGGAGATGTTCCTCAAACGTGGGCAGTTCGGTTCCCTAGACTAGTGTCTCAAACTGAAGATGATGGAAATGTGGAGGAAGGCATGCGGACACCAGAATCCATCTGTGTGACTACAGATGCAATGCGTCCGGCTGCCTTATGGTCCTGCTGCCATGCCTTTCTTGGCATGATGGGCTTTATGATCAAACTGCGAACCAAAGTGAGCTCTTTCTTCTTACGTTGCTTTCATCATTTAATTCCCCCCAGCAACAGCGTAACTCCCGTCACTAAGATTCCTCAGTGAGAGGAGGGTAAGTAAGCAGGTTACTTCAGCTCATTTTCTCATGAGATCTGATGTTCTGCTTAGCACAGCTGGGTTTAGGCACTGGAGTTCCAGCGATGAGATTTCAATTAGCTTTCCATTCTCACTTACAGGAGAAAGAACGAGTAATTAAAGGTAACCTTTAAAAGTGTTGAACTGCGGTGACTTTATTCATTTCACGGAGAATAGCATAAGGGAAAAAAAAGTGTTCACAACTAAAATTAAACTCAGAATTTAAACCAACTAACCTGAGACATTACTGTCCACACTCTGAGAACTTTTGCTATGAGTGTCAAATCAACCAAAGAGGCTCGGACTGGGGAGGCTGGGGAGACGGCTCAATTAGTAAAGCAATTGTCTTGCAAGCATAAGGGCCTGAGGTTGATTTTCAGATAGCACATAAAAAATATCTGGGCATGACTGGCCAGTGAACCCCAGGGATTCTCCTATTACTACCTCCCCAGAGTGGGCCAACCTGTCTAGCATACTTGGTGACTCCAGAACAGTGAGAGACTCTCAAGATGAGTAACAACAGAGGCACAACACTTCAGGTTGCCTTCTGGCTTCCGCATGTACACACACAGACCCCTACATATACATAAACACATGTACCCAGCACATACAAACATAAACAAACAGATTTGATTTTGATGCATCCAACCTTTAACTTTTGGTTAGCGTTAAGACTTCTCTTTAAAGAACTCATTTATTGTTAATGGAAACTTTGAAATGTAATAGCCACACCCAAAGTGTACCAAGTTATGAGTGTACAGAGAAATACATTTTTTGAAAAAATATGCATATCTATGAGGTCAATATGTGTATTAAGAATCAAAACAACTCAGCCATTTATGTCTACACTCGGTCTCATCAGATCCCCATCCCTCAGGGAAGCCACTTGACCTGGCTGTGTTATTGCTTAGGTTTGCTCATTTTCAAAGTTTATATTAATAGATTCAGCACAAGTCCTACTTTATGACTCAAGTCTTTCACTACATTTTGTGTTGTAAGGTTCGATCCTGTTTAATTTGAAGATAAACGCTAGAGACGCAATGAAATTTACATAGGAAAGATAGTTACTGTATAATCATAGCGGTTCTTGGTACATTAACTAAATCACACAGTTCCTACAGACTAACTTCCCATTTCCAAAAAAAAATTTTGTTTCAGTCCCTAATTTATTACATTATGAAAACTACAACACAGTCATATTTCATAAAAAATGACTGAGGTGCTTCTTGTAGTAAGCTTTTTTTGAAGTAAATCATCATTCTATATAAAACTCAGAAATATCATTCTAGAAATTTGCATATTATGGTCATAAACATTGTAGAAATGAAATAAGAGTTTTTTTTTAAGAGCAGGTTTGGTAGATATGTAAATCCCTGACGCTCTGTTTTCCTGTGTTATGCAGTTTTAGCTCGCTTTCATTTCGTCTTTGAAGGGACACCATACTCAGCAACCTATCTTACAGATCTCACTTCTGGAGGTGGTCACAGAACAGCTGCCAAAAGCGTATGGATTTTGAGAACACTCTCCTCTCTCTAACAAGTACACAGAGTTGAATGACGGTTGCTCATAGAGGTAAAGTAGAAAATTCCAGCAGCTGGTTAGCAGCCCAAGTTCAGTTTAGGATCATATCTTCTCTGAGGGACATGAGTCAGACATCTTCAAGTACATGCCCTACAGTCACACACAGACTTCTCGTGAAAGAACTGATAAAATATGACATGTGTGAATACATACTCACACCCAAAAAGTGCCAGCCACAAAACTCAGTGCACAATTTGAAATCTGGGTTAAGATATATAAAGGTAGTGCACAAAAATAATTTTAAAATCTATTTTCCTTTCCAGCCCCTTAATTACCATTAATAATGATTCTGAGACTAATTAGTTATTACTAAATGCCTAGGCCATAAGCTTCGGCTCATTCCCTTTGACTAGCTCATAACTTGTTTAACGCATTTAAATGATTCTACGTCTACCATGTGGCTAGTTACCTCTTCTCCTCTTTGCTTCTTCCTTAGTGTCTCCTCAGTGTCTTTCTGCTGGTTCATGTCTGTCTTTTTGGTCTGTCTATCATCCTTCTTTTATCTCTATTTCCCAGAATTCTCTCTCTTCCTGCCAGTGTCCCACCTACCTCCTATTTCCTGACTCAGTTCATTGGCCATCGGCTTTTTTATTGACAGGTGATGTTCATAAGAGATTCTATCTATAGCACAAACATCTTATCCTTAAAGGCATCATCACTGTTTGCTTTCTGCTTTGAACAGTTCTAAATAGATTGTGTTTGCTCACTCTTACATTTTATTTTTACGTTGAGGGGGACGTCAATAAGTCTCTCCTTCAAAACTCACTTTTAACTTCTGTTTCTTATCTGTCAATGAGATGAATTGTGTCCAGAAAACGTTATTGTAAATATGTATATATCTATATACCTGCTACATTGTGATTTTGATGTGCTGAAGATTA